AAAAACTCCTGTAAAACAAAAGGATTACCTTGTTTCCCAAATCTTTATTTGAGGGACTACATCGACGATAATCAGGAGATAGGGGAGACTTATTTTTGGGATCTGCAGCTTTTCTTGGAGGTGATTTCTTTTGCTCATCTTTCTTCTTCTCTGATAACGAGTGGGAGAGAGAGTCTATAGATGGAGGGCAGTCTTTGGCGAAAAAATCTGGAAAAATGTTCTCAAAAACATCTCTAGAAAACAATGCACATGAATTACCAGCAACAATGCCCCTCAATTTATCCATTTCCTTTCCTCTATCATCTACCAAACGGCGAATTGAACGTATCTCTTCAGCTCTTTCGACATCGTGAGTTTTCAGCTCCTCCAAAGAGGATCTCACGTCTTTTAGGATTTCCATCAACGATACCTATAGAGTTCATTGAAAAACGTTGTTAGCTACAATCGGGGGAAATTTACTCACTTCCTGATTTGGCTTTACTGGGTCGATGTTTTGGTTCTCTTTATCTTCTGTATCTGACGATATAGAAGGCTTCATCGCGCTTTTGTTCATTTGTCGTTTCAGCTTTGTAGCATGAGATGTACCCCAAAGAGGCATTAATTAGAAACACCAAACAATTTTACTGCGTTTTAATGCGAAGTGAAAGATTGATCCGCACAAATCGATCACCCATTTCACGTCTTATGTCATTGTTAACAAAATGACTATACGTTCTAGAGGACACATGGTGTGCAGTAATATAATGCGCATATCATAATGTACTTATCGTCATAGACCAGTTTCAAACTCACCTCAATGGTTTGTGAAACGTTGACTGTTTTTCCGAAAGCAACAGTTTTTCTTCTGAGATTAAGCCTTGCTGGGACAATGTTCGACTTAGTACTTTTGGTCAGACAGGATTTTTTCGGTGGATGGGTTGAAGCTTTTGATGGCGAATTGGGAAGCGATTTCTGTTCAGCTATATTATCAGATTTATCGGAAGCTGAGGCTGATGGAGGGATGCTAGCAGATGTTACACGAGTAACAGATAAATCGTAGGTAGGACGTTTTGAGAGGTTCAAAGCGAGGTCGGTTTGTGGAGTTTCGGAACTTTGTGATGGTGTAGTATCCCTGAACAACAAATTAACTCGTTAAAAAAAGTAGTGTTTTAAGTGAACTATCAAATATCTGGAAGAATGTATAAACTTATATAAAACAACT